GCAGGAAAAGGGTAGAAAACGACCTTCAGTTCCTCCAAGTCCTGGAAGACTGAGACAAGGGGAAGAGAGCAAGGTAAGAGCATCTATTCTTATCTTTGATCCTTCATTGATAGAAATAGAGTTAACTCCATTCATAACTCTTAGAAATGGCAGTTTGATAAATACTTTGTTAATAATATCAAGTACGGTTTTTTATGTTGAAGTTGTGATGTTTCACATGTTTGAAATCTGGATTTTTTTTAATTACTTTTTTTTAGGTTTTGTTCTTTTTAAGAATTATTTTATTTAACTTTACTTATTTTTAATTTAACCAGAGAGGGAGAGAGAAAGAGAGAGGGAGAGAGAAAGAGAGAGGGAGAAGGAGGGAGGGAGGGAAAACAAGAAAGGAAGCCGCCAGGTCTGGGACTTGAACCACGGTCAGCCATGTGGGAGTCCAGTGCCCTTAACCACCATGCCACCTGCTGCCCTCCCCCCCCCTTTTTCTTTGCCATGGGGCCTGTGCATTCACCGGAGAGACAGAGATAGAGAGAGGAAAAGAGAGAAATCACCTCCCAGTGGGAATTGGCTATGCTGCAATCCCTTCTCTTCCGTTCTCCTCTTGAGATTTTGGACATGCATACACATGCACCTGGTGTGATTTTCAAGCAGTCAGGTCTGGGATTCAACCTGTGGTCAGCTATGTGGTAATCCAGGGCCTTAACTACCACGCCACCTGCTGGCCACCCTAGATTACTTTTATATCCTAGCCTAAAGCGAAATGATATTATAATTCATTTATTTGAAATATTTATCAAAAAGCTTTGTCTGCTGGCATCACCAAGGATTCTAACACCATGACAGCAAGTGCTTTAAAGCTGTGTAGCATAAAGTTATGCTCTGAGTGTATAATAGAGTCCTTATTCATTTTCTATGTGGTTTTGGGTGATTATTATTATTATTTAATCTCTGTGCTTAAATGAGACACTTTTCTTTCTTTTTCAAAGAATTATTTATTTTATTTATTTTTTTAATTTGACTAGAGAGACAGAGAGATAAACAGAGAGGAAAAGTGAGAAAGCAAGCCGCCAGACTCACTGGTGGTCAGCCATATGGGAGTCCAGCACTTCAACCACCATGTCACTTACTGGCTCCAAATGAGACACTTTCCTTAAGGTATCTGAACTGGATTAAGTTCTACACATTAATTTAATTATACTTTTCTAACTATATTAGGTTTATTTATTTTTTTTATTACTGGCTAACAAAATACTATAAATTTAGTGTTCAAAAGTACAGAGTTATTATTTCACAACTTTTCTAGGTTAGAAGTCTAGCATGCATGGCTGGATTCCTTGCTCTCAGATTCTTTTATTTATTTATTTATTTTGAGAGAGATTTTTATTTATTGTAGAGTGCGTGCACTCTCCAGAGACATTGAAAGCGAGAAATCACCTCCTGGGTGGATGGCCACACCACAATCCCTTTTCTTCCATTCTCCTTTTGAGATTTTGGGCACACATGCACACATGCCCAGTGTGAGTTTTAGGCTGTTGGGTCTGGGATGGGGCCATTATGCCATCTGCCACTTCTTCTGCTCAGGTTGTTAACACAGCTGAAATTAGGGTTTTGGCCATCTGTCTAACCACTATCTTACGTGAGGCTCATTGTATTCTATCCTCTCTCAGGTTGTTGGCAGAATTCAGTTTCTGGTAGTTGCAGGCCTGAGATCTCTATTTTCTTCCTGGTTGTTGATGAGAGGTCATTCTTAACTCCTAGAAGCTGCCTGTGTTTCTGGCCACATAGTCCCTTCCATCTTCCAGGCCTGCACCAATGCATTCATTTAACTTCCTCTGTCTCTATAATCTATAGACACAGCCTTAAGAATGTATGATTATATATATATATATATATTTTATTTTTTGGAGAGGTTTTTGCTATAGGGTGCGTGTGCTTGCCAGAAAGATAGAGAGAGACAGAGAGATAGAAAGCGAGAAATCACTCCCCAGGGGGGATGGCCATGCCGCAGTCCCTTCTCCTCCATTCTCCTCTCAGGATTTTGGGCACACATGCACACGTGCACGGCGTGAGTTTAAGCCACCGGGTTCGGGACTTGAACCGTGGTTGACTTTGTGGGAGTCCAGCGACATAGCCATTACACTAACTGCTGGTCCTAAGAATGTATATGATTATGTAAGACACACCTGATTGATGTCCCTATCTTAGGTGAACTGATTATGGACTATAATTACATCTGAAAAAATCCCTTTGCTGCCATACCTGAATTAGTATTTGATTGAATAATTGGGGGAAGGTGTATATATATCAGGGACTGGGTATCTTAGGACCATTTTAGAATTCTGCCTGTCACATTGATAGCATTTCACCTGAATTAGTGTTATTATATAAGGATTTCATTTTCTTATATCATTAGAACTTTTGAGAGAGTGTTTTGTTTTTGTATAGTGTGCAGTTTTCATAGAGGAATATTCGTATGGAATGGTGGAGCCAACTGCTTTAATTTTGTGTTATTTAATATAATTAAATCTTCCTTTTTGTCTCATCTATATAGGAATCACTGTTTCTTAAAGATTAGTAATAATAAAGTTAATAATAAAGAGAGAATAATAATAAGGTTACTGAAGATGATCTATGTGTTAGTGTTTGCTAACTAGTCTAAGGTTATTCATGACTAGCATGGACTGGTGGTAGCCCTTCCATTTTGCCCACTCAAGAATCTGCAAAGCTCATGGTGTAAGACCTTTCATTTATAGCCTGTAGATACAGAATTGAAAATGCAGACTCATTCAACAGAGGATCATCTTTTTGAAAGGTGGAAAGTCGATTTCAAGTGCTGTGGCACTACCTTTATATTTATTCATTTGATAAGCAGTTCTTGAATGCTTGTTATGTTTTGGGCACTGTCTAGGTACAAGGCATACAATTGAGAACAAAGATCATAATGAATGTCCCCATGGAACATTAGTCTAATGAGGCAGTGGCTGACAGTAAACCATGATCCTATAAACTTTTAAAAACAAGTATGAAAGGGCTATGCAGGAAAAAAAGGAGCTAGAAAGTATTGTAGAGGGAATGGTTGATAGTGGTGGGTTATTTTATGTGGGGCAACCAGGGAAGTCTCTCTGATCTTTGCAAATAAATGATTTTGTAATGAAGTTATACATGAGACTTACAGTTACTTTAAATATATTTTATCTCTGGATAATAGACTTGAGAAAGTTCAGTGAATAATGAAGATGATTAGGCTTAATGGATGATCCTAAGTATTCCTAAATGGTTCAATGCTAAGAAGTGAGCTGTTACTATTTAGAACAATATTCCCCAAGTGTGGTTCAAAGACCCCTGAGGTTCTAAGATCCTTTCGGAGGCTCTACAAGTTTTCTCTTTCTGAACTGCATATCTATGTAATGCTAGATTTTGTTTATATACTTCAGATAATATAATAATACATTAAATGTGTTATTTCTATACATTGAATGCTGAAGCCAGCAATGAATCTAGCCATCTTCTATTTGGCTAGACATTGAAGATACTGTAAACATGTAAAACAGTGCTACTGGCCACATAACATAGTGTAAGACACACCTGATTGATGTCCCTATCTTAGGTGAACTGATTATGGACTATAATTACATCTGAAAAAATCCCTTTGCTGCCATACCTGAATTAGTATTTGATTGAATAATTGGGGGAAGGTGTATATATATCAGGGACTGGGTATCTTAGGACCATTTTAGAATTCTGCCTGTCACATTGATAGCATTTCACCTGAATTAGTGTTATTATATAAGGATTTCATTTTCTTATATCATTAGAACTTTTGAGAGAGTGTTTTGTTTTTGTATAGTGTGCAGTTTTCATAGAGGAATATTCGTATGGAATGGTGGAGCCAACTGCTTTAATTTTGTGTTATTTAATATAATTAAATCTTCCTTTTTGTCTCATCTATATAGGAATCACTGTTTCTTAAAGATTAGTAATAATAAAGTTAATAATAAAGAGAGAATAATAATAAGGTTACTGAAGATGATCTATGTGTTAGTGTTTGCTAACTAGTCTAAGGTTATTCATGACTAGCATGGACTGGTGGTAGCCCTTCCATTTTGCCCACTCAAGAATCTGCAAAGCTCATGGTGTAAGACCTTTCATTTATAGCCTGTAGATACAGAATTGAAAATGCAGACTCATTCAACAGAGGATCATCTTTTTGAAAGGTGGAAAGTCGATTTCAAGTGCTGTGGCACTACCTTTATATTTATTCATTTGATAAGCAGTTCTTGAATGCTTGTTATGTTTTGGGCACTGTCTAGGTACAAGGCATACAATTGAGAACAAAGATCATAATGAATGTCCCCATGGAACATTAGTCTAATGAGGCAGTGGCTGACAGTAAACCATGATCCTATAAACTTTTAAAAACAAGTATGAAAGGGCTATGCAGGAAAAAAAGGAGCTAGAAAGTATTGTAGAGGGAATGGTTGATAGTGGTGGGTTATTTTATGTGGGGCAACCAGGGAAGTCTCTCTGATCTTTGCAAATAAATGATTTTGTAATGAAGTTATACATGAGACTTACAGTTACTTTAAATATATTTTATCTCTGGATAATAGACTTGAGAAAGTTCAGTGAATAATGAAGATGATTAGGCTTAATGGATGATCCTAAGTATTCCTAAATGGTTCAATGCTAAGAAGTGAGCTGTTACTATTTAGAACAATATTCCCCAAGTGTGGTTCAAAGACCCCTGAGGTTCTAAGATCCTTTCGGAGGCTCTACAAGTTTTCTCTTTCTGAACTGCATATCTATGTAATGCTAGATTTTGTTTATATACTTCAGATAATATAATAATACATTAAATGTGTTATTTCTATACATTGAATGCTGAAGCCAGCAATGAATCTAGCCATCTTCTATTTGGCTAGACATTGAAGATACTGTAAACATGTAAAACAGTGCTACTGGCCACATAACATAGTGGTTAAGTGCTGTGCATAGGAAGCTGGATCACGTGGCTGACTGTGGTTTGAATCCCAGCACTGGTGGCTTAAGCAAAATTCAGATGGGAACGAGGAGAGAAAGAAAAAGGATCGCAGAGTATCAAGCCCCATTTGGGGCTCTTGCATGCACACGCTCTTTATCTCTGACAAGCACACATACTCTCTGGCAACTAATTAAATAAAGTAACACAGTGCCACTCCTTCACCAGTTTTTTTAAAAGTTGGCAAAATAGGAGTGTTCTTATTTAATAAATATGTTCTTTATGTTAATATATCATAGATTTATCAGTATTAAGTGAACTTAAATTTTGTATTTGAAAACTAATTCAGTTTTAATTTCTAATAAGGTCAAATTTTAGAAAATAAGGTAAACAAGAATATTTAAAATTATTAAGGGGATCCTTAATAATTTTTAAAAGTGTAAGTGGGTCCTAAGACAAAAAAGTGTGAATTACTAGGTTAAGAACTTTTTAAATATGATTTTAATGTTTCTTAAGAACTAATTATTTACTTCTCTATAGATCAGCACAATAGATGCATCTCCAAGAAATATTTCTCCAGGACTTCAACAAAATGGAGAAAAAGGTTGGTCCTTCCGTTTAGTGATCACTTACCATTGGACTTGAAGAATTATTGTAGTGTGAGAGTTATTTTTAACTGCTAATTTTGATCCAATTTTTTTTTGATACAATTGTTTTTTTTAACTGCTAATTTTGATCCAATTTTTTTTGATATAATTGTTCAATAGATGTTGTAAAATATTTGTAACTAACAGTTTAAGATTAACTTTCAGTGTATTGCAAGAAGACAGATTAGCATATAGAAATAACATGAAATATAGGAAGTGCTGCTATTAGGGGAAGAAGCTACAGAAAAAAGAAAAATCGAATTTCTATTTTGCTTATTCTACAGTCAGCTCCCAGGTTTCACTGCAAAATCTTATAAAGTTCATATTTTTAATGTTATTAAAATGTTTATTTGACTTAAGATATCTTTTGCATTATTTTATCAGATAAGGTGATGTCTTCCTAAAACTTTGTGGAGAAATTTGCAGACTGTAGAACAAGAGCTCAACTCATAACTCTTGATATTTTTTTTAGAGTTTAATGTTTTTTTTTCCTCTCCCAGATGAGCGTATATTTTTCTTGACAGTGTCCTAATTTAATTTATTCTCTAGTAAACTGAGTAAACTGTTGCACTATTTAGGTAAGCAGTGTGTTGTAGAAGGAGTATTAGGGAAGAGTCAGATATGGTTGGTAGCTGTAGTCCTGCCACTCTGGATTTTGTGCCCATTTCCATGACATGAACTGCATAGGACATAGAAATATGAATTAATATTTAAAGACATAATATTTAAATTGAAATGGACCTAATGTTTTTAAGTGACTTTATTTAAGATTGTGTTTTTCCTTAGAGGATCGCTTCCTAACAACCTTATCCAGCCAGAGCTCCACTGGCTCCAGCCATCTCCAGTTGCCTACCCCACCAGAGGTCATGTCTGAGCAGCTGGGGGGGGTGGGTCCTGACCTGGATACAGCCAGCAGTTCCGAAGGTACAATTCCAGTCATTTTTCTTGTGCTTCATTGGATCTAACACTGAGAGCTGTTATCTTTGGTTATATGTATTCCCAAGAAAGGAAAGCACTGCTGACTCTTTGACTTAATCCTTTCTTATACTTTAGCATTTTTTAAAAATACATATTGAAAGTGCTGTTTTAGATATAGCTTTTTCCTTTCTTTTTTAAAGAGGTTTTTGCCATAGTGCTCATGTGCTCACCAGGAGGAAGAGACAGAGACAGAGAGAGGGAAAGTGAGAAATTATCCCACAGGGGAGATGGCCATGCCACAGTCCTTTCTCCATTCTCCTCTTAGGATTTTGGGCACACACGCACACACACCCAGCATGATTTTCAAGTTACTGGGTCCAGGACTCGAACTGTAGTCAGCCATGTGGGAGTCTAGCGATATAGTCACTACACCAGTTGCTGGCCCCTAGATTTAGCTTTTTTTTTTTTTTTGGTGAGACTTTTTCTATAGGGGATTGTGCATATGGCCCCATTCTTGATGCATGAGAAACACACACACACACACACACAGAGAGAGAGAGAGAGAAACTACCCTCTAGGGAAGATGGCTACATGTAATTCCTTTTCCTCTATTCTCCTCTAGGGATTTTGGGAATGCGTGCACATGCACCTGGCTTGAGTTTCAAGTCTCCCGGTCTCAAACTGGAACCATAGTCATCCGTATGGGAGTCCAGTGCCTTAACCACTACCCACCTGCTGACCCCTAGATGCAGCTTTTTATCATTATCACTTCTTCTTTTAGTTGTACTACTTGACATGTAAATGTCTCAGTGACAAAATGTTATTCAGCTTCATCTCCCTTCTGGGATCTTACTTTCTTAAGTCCCATGTAACCCACGATTCTTTCTCGGTGAGGAAATCAGAGACATGGCAGCCCATTTTCTGACAACAAATATTTGCTTCATAATAACAAATTTGTGCATCACATCTCGCTCTCCTTACTTTCTGTTAAAGCAGTAACTACTTAATTATAGTATAAATTCAAAATTGCTGTTAAACTCAGGTGTAATAGCCATGGTACACATAACCAAGTTTGAAGCGATGGCATGTACAGCTGTGTTTAGCTCACGCGAGTTCAAACAGCCAGTTTATCTTGGCTGTTGCCTGCTCCTGCACTGATTATAGGATGATCTCCATTTCTGAGATGTTATGGTGTTTCTTGTTTCATTCCATAAGAGTAATTTTTCCTAGATCAGAAATTTTAAACCATAATTGGTGATTATGGTGTGCATGTCTGTATTCCAAATAGGTAAAGAAATAAAATTGAGTCTGTACTTTTCCTTTCTGAATATTAATATATAAGTAAAATATTTTTTATCTTAGATGTGTTTGATGGGCATTTGCTGGGATCCACAGATAGCCAGGTGAAGGAAAAGTCAACTATGAAAGCCATCTTTGCAAATTTCCTTCCAGGAAATAGCTATAATCCTATTCCATTTCCTTTGTAAGTATTATAAAAGCTAGTGGCTACTGGGTGGCTTTATTTTTCCTTAGTTTAATATTTTCTTTATTTTCTCTTAATTTTCTTAATTCAATTTATTTGTAATTTTCTAGACTTAGGATAAGTATGCTCATTTATTTTATTATTTTCTTTTAAGAGAGATTTTTGCTATAGGGTGTGTGTATAAGCTAGAGAGACAGAGACAGAAAGCAAGAAATCACCCCCTGGGGGGATGGCCACACCCAATCCCTTCTCCATTCTCCTCTTGGGATTTTGGGCATGCATATATGTGCCCACTGTGAGTTTTAATCTGCTGGGTCTGGGACTTGAACCATGGTTTACTCTGCGGGAGTCCAGTGACATAACTATTACATCATTTGCTGGTCCCTGTTCATTTATTTTTATATTCTTTATTTACTTATCCTAAATTATATTTCTTCATAGTTAAAGGAATTTGTTTGGAGTGACTATTCTAGAGATCTCTGTTTTGAAACTTTATTCTGATAAGCATAATCACCTTCAAAAAGTTCCTCCTTTTTGTTGTCTATTTAATTCAAGTTCTCAGCATCTCCATGCATTTGGCTTACTTAATTATATTCTTATTGTCTGGTATTAAGTTAACTCAGAATTTAGCCTGAGATGGACTTGTAATAAGTTACTGGTTTTTATATGTGTCTTTTTTTTTTTTTTTGCTAATTTCATTCTTATTAACTATTTTAAAATTTTGAACAGTGATCCAGATAAACATTACTTAATGTATGAGCATGAACGGGTGCCAATTGCAGTGTGTGAGAAGGAACCCAGCTCTATCATTGCTTTTGCTCTCAGGTATTCATGGGGCTTTTTTAACCTATTATATTTGTATATTGTATGTATTGTATGTAATTCACTTTTTTTTTTTAAGAGCTTTTACATAAGGTGAAGCAAAATGATTGAATATAAGCAAAGTGTGTATTTTTCAGTAGGATAGCTTGTTGTCTTTGTACCTGAAAACCATTTTTTTACCCAGCTGTTGGGTCATTGGAAAAGTCATGCCTTCTTGCATAGAAAAAAAATCTTCATGACTTTTCTGATGACCCAATAATAGGGTGTAAAATGGTTCCTAAGCAAATGCTCAGTAACTAACTAAATTGACTAGACAAGTTATTTACTAATCCTTGAGTTTCCTAACTATTCTTTCTATTATAATATGTTTCCATTGTGTCCTTTCCATCACTTTACTTACTGATGTAGTACTTGGAACATACCTGCTTTATATCATCTGAATATCTTCATCGTAGTCTTTACTCATTTCCTTCCTGCTTCTCATGCATACCAGGTTAAATTTTCCTGCTTAAAATAATGTTGCTCTTATGCCTGACCTCATTGACATTGCTAACTTTTTAATTTATACAGTTATCATGTGTCTTAAAGAAGCATCCTATTTTTAAAATACATATTATGTTTAAATGAACAAAGCTTTTTAATTTTTTTAAGAGGTTTTTGCCTTAGGATATATGCACTTGTTAGAAAGAGACAGAAACACTGAGAGGGAAGGTGAGAAATTGCCCCCAAGAGGGGATGGCCATGCCACAATCCCTTCTCCTTCTGGGATCTTGGACATGCACACACTTGCCTGGTGTGAGTTTCAAGCCATTGGGTCTGGGACTCGAACTGTGGTCAGCCATGCGGGGGTCCAGCAAAAAAATTACTATGCTATCTACTGACCCAAAAGCATTTTATTTTTTATTTTTTTTATTTTTTGCTATAGGGCGTGTACTCTTGCTAGAGAGGCAGAAAGTGAGAAAAAATCATTCCCAGGAGTCATGGCCACAATGCAATCCTTTCTGCTCTGTTCTCCTCGGGATTTTTTTGGACCTGCTTGCCCACTCACCCTGTGTGAGTTTTAAACAGCTGGATCTTGAACTGTGGTTGACCACATGGGAGTCCATCAATGTAACCATTATGCCATCTGCTAGATTTATATACCTCTACCTTTGTAGAGTTTAGAGTTTAGAGTTAAGGTAGTGAGGGATTTTTTTCTTTATAAGATTTCATATGACATAATTTTTATCTTTGCCTTTTGACTTTTATGAAAATAGTATTTGCTTTTCACTTTATTGATCAGTTATATTAACAATATGAATGGTAATACAGTTAACTAAATAAAAAATATTCCTTGTATTGTTAGGAAACAAATATTCTAGTTGAGGTCATCTTTCTGTGTCTCTTAAAAATAAAACATCGTGTCATGCCACTCTTGTTCCGTATTTTATTCAAAGCAGGACTCCTAGGTTGCTAGTCCAAGAGTCAGATTTTTTTCGATCAATAGAACTTAAACATTTTTTTCTTAAAGTTTAGTAATTTTGAATAGAAAAGTAACCTCAAATTTCTGTATTCTCTATTATACTAAACCCAGAGATTTCACTTTTTTAAATTATTTATTTATTTTTTATTTTTTGGAGAGGTTTTTGCCATAGGGTGCATGCGCTCACCAGACAGAGAGACAAAAAGTGAGAAATCACCCCCCAGGGCAGATGGTCACGCTGCAATCCCTTCTCCTCCATTCTCCTTTTGGGATCTTGGGTACACACACACATGCGCCCGGCGTGAGTTTCAAGCCACCGGGTCTGGGACGCGAACCGCTGTCGACTACATGGGAATCCAGCAACATAGCCATTACGCTAACTGCTGGTCCCACTTTTTTTTTTTTTTTTTTTTTTTGAGAGGGAATTTTTTGCTCTAGGATGTGTGTGCTAGCCAGAAAGACAGAGAGAAATCACCCCCCAGGTGGGATGGGCTCGCTGCAGTCCCTTCTCCCCCCTTTTTCTCTTGGGATTTTGAGCATGCACATACATGCACCTGGTGTGTTTTAAGCCTCCAGGTCCAGGACTTGAACCACAGTCAGCCATGTGGGAGTTCAGTGATTACCATTACACTGGACCTGAAATTTCTACTTTTAAGTACCTGTTTGACCCTTGAAATAATTTGTTCTAAATGTTAGTAAGTAGGCGTTTTTTGATGATTGTTGAGGATATTGATACTGGTTACTAAGTCAGTGGATCATATTTGGTATGTTATGTTTTCTGTGAAGACATGAAGACATTTCTTTATGAAGCTTCTACTTGATCACTTCTGTTCATTAGCCCAAATGTATTTATTTAATTATGAACACATAATGATTGTGTTTATATAATGCAAACCTTATTCTAAAGCATACAATTTATTTTTAGAGAAGAGCTTAATGTGTAACATTTTTCAACCTATTTCTACCCTAAGTTGTAAAGAATACCGAAATGCCTTAGAGGAATTGTCTAAAGCGACTCTGTGGAACAGTGCCGAAGAAGGGCTTCCAACAAATAGGTGATTCATGATTGTATAGAATCTATTTTAATTTAGTTATGTCATCATTTTTCTGTGTGTTCATACTGAAATTGTATTCTAGAATATTATCAGAATTAAAATTTCTTGAATCTAGATAATGGTACTCATATTTCAGCCACTAATTGAGACAGCAAAATTCAAGTATAGCAAGTAACCTTAAGAAGGTCCATTAGTGTACAATTGTATGATTTTTGCCATAGCAGTTCAATATATATTGCAGATTTAAATTCTAACTTTTTTTCCATTAAAAAGTTAGATTTTTATTTAAAAGACAAGTTAGTGTGAGATTAGGTAACCTTGCTTGGCTTTGTAATTTAAAACATTGTGAATTTTCCACTGAAAGATCCTAATAGTTAAAACCCAAACCAGTTCTTTTGCATGGTCAGTATTTTAGACAGACAGAAATTGCCATAGGCTCATTATTCAGATTTTTACTGAAATAAGTTTTCCAACTTTACCAATGATAAAATTTTATCTGAAGTATTATCATGCTGACTCGTGTGGGAAAATCAAAGTAATTTTCTGTAATTATTTGACTTACAGGTGCTGACATAACTCTAATGGACTGGGGAAAAAATATCATGAAAGTCTATGCTTTCATACATTTTTTTCAGTTATAAAATTTTGTTTTCTTGAGTTCTGTAGATATTTTAAAACTTTTTCTCCCATGTTCTAACCTGTGTTTGTAAAAGTTATTAATCAGATTTCAGATATTTAGGCGGGGTAAAATGGAGAGTAGATTAGTACAGGTATCAAACTATTTGCTGTTTTTTGTCTGAATAGTATAACCAGTTTTTCCTTTTTTTTTTTTTTTTCATTTAAGCACTTTAGACAGCAGACCAAAGAGTAGCAGTCCTATTAGATTACCTGAAATCAGTGGAGGACAGACAAGCCGTACAGCAGAAGCAGAACCACAGCCAAGTAAGATTACATGGAAGAGTATTTATAATTTGTTTTATTTGTAATTATAATTTAAAGAGGAAAACACATTAAATTAGAAGTGACATCTCGAAAGGATTTACTACTTCTGATCTCTTAAATCTATAGATTTAAACATTGTAATATAGTTGCTCATAGATGTTTTGCTTTTCTTTTTGATTCTTTCCTTGATTGTAAATTCAAATTATTGAATTTGAACTCTTAGGATTTTTGGTCTATATAAAAAGGAAGATCTACTTTCCTAGAACTTGTAGTTTAAAATGTACAGCGGAAGAACTGTAATAGTTTTTATGAATTTTACAGTCTTATTAACGCTATGAAAAGAAATTTTTTATTTATTATCTCTTTTTTTTTAAAGAATTATTTACTTAATTTTATTCATGGTCATTGTTTTATTTTTTTGTTTTGAAATTGACCAGAGAAAGAGAGAAAGAAGGAAAGAGAAAAAGCAAGCTACCAGGTCTGGGACTCGAACTACAGTCAGCCATGTGGGGATCCAGCCACTTTAACCACCACACCACCTGCTGGCTCCTGTTTTGTCTCTTAATCCCTACAGTAATGGGATTATTTGACATATCCCATGTTTCAGAAAGAAAGTTAAAATTTAGATTAAGTAATTTGCTCAGGATTATTTGGGGGTAGAGCTGGGATTTGAACTTAGATCTCTGACTTTGTCCTTTTGGACAAATGCATTCACCTATGAGTGATAGAAAATTCAACTGACTATAATGGCTTAGATAAATACATTTGTTTTTCTGAAATACCTGTGCCTGATGGTGGGAGGTATTGTGATGATTCAGCTGCTCAGCATTGTTATATGACAATAGAGTGATAGTTTTTCTATGATTCTCTTAAGTTTTTCTCATAGTCCAACTTTTTGTTTGTTTGTTTGCATTTGAGGAAGAAAGAAGGGTCTTACAGGCTACCCCTGCTCTCTTTTACTAGGCAAGCAGAGGCTCCCCCTTTAGTCTCCTTGCTCAGAAGTGAGTCTCATGGCCACTCCTAACTGTAAAGAAGACTGAGAAAGTAGAGTTGCAGTAGCGTTGTTCTGGTTGTCTTATACAAATCATGATGCATTTCCTGCAGCTATACACATAGCCCCCCAACCCCCTACCCCGCCCCGCCAAGAACTGCAGTTCTTTTAGTATGGAATCAGGTAGGAGTAGATATTAAGGTAGCAGTTAGAGTGTCTGCCACCCTAAGTAAACACTTTTATGACATAATGTTTTCTGTGGGATTATACATGGTGAATTTACAGGATTAGAATTGTACATATTAATGATAAAATGAATGAAACTTAAAACTAGGAAAAAAAGTATAGAGCAAGCTTTAGTAAATTCTTGGCCATCTTCTGGTGTTTAGTTTTTGAAAGATGCTAAAAATGAAATCTTATATTCCCCTGCGTTAAAATTTAGGAATACAAATGATATAAGGGTGTTGCTTTTTTTTTTTTCCCGCAAGTTTTTTTGTTATAGGGTGTATGTTCTCACTGGAGAGAGACAGAGCTACACAAAGAGAGAGGGAAAGTAAGAAATGATCACTTGGGGGATAACCACACCACAATCCCTGCTCCTCCATTCTCTCAGGATTTAGGGCCCACATGTGCACACACTCAAGAGTGTTTTTCAAGCTGCTGGGTCTCTAACCACATAGTCAGCCATGTGGGATTCAGCCTTAACCATCACACCACCTGTTGACCCCAAAGATGTTACCTGTAACTCTAGCTTTTTAGCTTGCAAAGTTGTTTTGTTAGTTTAATTTAGTATATTGCAATATTATAAGAACTGGACCCTAATTTAATCTTGTTGCTTAAGATGTTAATACTGTCTTTGTAAGATATTTTTGAAAAACTTCCTTGGAAATTTTTACATTTCGATATTCAGCTAGCTAAGCTTTGCTCTCCATCCATGTTTCTAATATTAAGAGCATTTACTATTCTGAAATAAGATGTAGAATAAAAATTAGTGTAAATAAAAGTATCTGCATTACTCAAATTTATTAGCTTCATATAGTGGTTACTGCTAGCAAAGGAATGAGTTGAAAATTTTTATTTTCCTCCCGCAGTGACCTGTACTTAAAATTAATTAAAATTAATGTGTTACCTCTTATTTTTAGCCAAAAAGGCTTCTGGAATGTTGTCCTTCTTCAGAGGGACAGCAGGGAAAAGCCCTGATCTCTCTTCCCAGAAGAGAGAGACCTTACGTGGAGCAGATAGTGCTTACTACCAGGTTGGGCAGACGGGCAAGGAGGGCACGGAGAATCAAGGCATTGAGCCTCAAGGTGTGTTAAAGGAGACTAAATGTGCTTATTTTAGCTTTATTTATTTTAGTGCTTGTGTATAGATAATTCTTATTTCTGAAACCAGGACATTACCTCTAATCTTACTCTTCAGTGTGGTTAAGTGGAAAAAGCATGTGAGAGTCCAGATGGTTTCGGATGTCATTGCTATTACTTACTGTGTGGTAGAATCAGAAATCCTTAGTTTACATACTGGAGAAGTGGCAAAAGCAATGTCTTAGTGATATTACACACGTAGAACGTCCGTCTTACTTGGATATACTCAAACATTTCACTACCCCCTCAGATGTTTTCTTTCTTTCACATTCCCTGTAAAGTTGTAGGTATTTATGCCCACTTTTGTTTTGATATTTAAAAAATATGGTGACCTGATTGTGTTTGGGTTTGGGTTTAGACCAGAAGTTGGTGGACTATGCTGACCTGTTTTTGTAAATAAATTTTATTGAACATAGGCACACCATTCATTTTCTTACTATTTGGTTGCTTTCACACTACATTGGCAAGTTGAGTAGTTGCACCAGAGTTAAATATTTACTGTCTGACCCTTTACATAGATGGTTTAGTGACCCCTGAGCTAGACCAACCAATTGTAGTTTAAAAAAAGAGCAACTACTGTAAAAATTTTTGATTAGTAATTAAGATATCAATTTAGTATCTTATAGGCTTCAATTGGGTTGTAGGTGTTTATAATGTGATCTTTTTGGAAGACTTTGAAATTTAAAAAAAAAATGATTTTGAAATGTGAAACTTAGGGGATGACTTGTTCCTGTAGATACTAAGATATATTCCAGATCTGCAGTATTTAAGTAGGTATCTGACAGTAGGTTTGCCAGCTAAATGATTCAAATACATAAAATAGCTCTGAAGTAGATGCTAGTGTATTGTGTATATTGTAAGTACAAGTTAGTATGTGGTAAAGAAGCAGTACAGACTATTGGGATAGCATTATTCCATACCCATGGGGAAAACTGGTCATAAGCTCCGATAGAGAAGCCATGGATATTCTTGGTAAAAGAGCTAAGTTACTCTATTGCTATCATTGGAATCACTTGCAGGTTAAAAAAATTATTTAACCAGAATTCTCATATTTTTAATCTAAAAATTAAAATTTCAAAGATACATACATTTTTATTGTAATCATTTACACAGTTTTATTGTACATCTAATGCTTGTTAGTGACTTGGCTAGGATATTTTTACTGTTACTTTGATAATCTTTGATATATCAGAGAAAAGATAAAACAAATTGCTATTTCAAACTTTGCCTTTACTAATGATATTAAACTTTTTAGATGATATAGATGGAGGAGATACACAAAAGAAACAACTCACAAATCCTCACGTGGAACTTCGTAAGTATAAAATAATAGTATTATTGGTTTGGAGGCAGAGACTAAATTGAGCAAACTTATTTGAAACGTCAAGCTTCATATAGGATAAAAAGCAGTTTATTGAAATGAGTATTAACTCTGTGTTCCAATATGAGATTTATTTATTTTTTAAAGAATTATTTATTTTATCTTGTTTATTGTTAATATTATTTTTTAAAAATTTGACCAGAGGGAAAATGAGAAGGCAAACTGCCAGGTCTGGGACTCCGGCCATGATCAATCATGTATGGGAGTCCAGCATCTTAACCACCATGCCACTTGCCAGCCCAACAACATGAGGTTTATGAAATCTACAATTTAATTTATAAAATATAAATAGTTAAATGTACACATTTAATAAGATTACAATTTTATTTATTTATAAATTATACTTTAATTTCTAATGTTTAAATAGTTATATAATCTGGAGACAGAAACTTGTCAAAGGACTTAGAATTGTAGATATGTGTGCCAGAAATTTATTCAAAATAATATAATTTACAATGCATTTTTCTGAGAGATTTTTTTTTTCTTTTTTTGGAGAGGTTTTTGCTATAGGGCGTGTGTGCTTGCCTGAGAGACAGAGAGAGACAGAGAGACAGAAAGCGAGATATCACCCCCCCAGGGGCAATGGCCACACCGCAATCCCTTCTCCTCCATTCTCCTCTCGGGATCTTGGGCATGCACGCACACGCGCCTGGTGTGAGTTTAAGCCACTGGGTCCAGGACTCGAACTGCAGTCAACTACATGGGAGTCCAATGACATAGCCATTACGCTAACTGCTGGTCCTGAGAGATTTTTTTCTATAGGGTGCGTGCACTCGCCAGAGAGACAGAGAAAGACAAAGGGACAGAAAGTGAGAAATCATCCCCCAGGGGGTATAGCCATGCAGCACTCCCTTCTCCACTCTCCTCTCGGGATATTGGGCATGTATGCACATGCACCCTGCATGAATTTTAAGCCTGCAGGTCCAGTACTCAAACTGAGGTCGAATACGTGGGAGTCCACCGATGTAACCATTGTGCCATTTATAATAAATTTTAAGATGTTTATTAAGAATTGCTATGAAAACATAATGATGAAAATGGAGTAATCAGTGTAAAATTGGAACTGAATCTTATCTTATGATTTCTTTCTTTTTTTAGAGAGAGATTTTTACTATAGGCTGCATTTGTTTGCCAGAGGGACAGAAAGGGAGAAAGTGAAAAATCACCCCTCAGGGGGTGATGGCCACACCACAATCCCTTCTCCTCCCTTCTCCTCTTGGGACCCTGGCCATGCTTGCCTGGTGTGAGTTTCAAGCCTCTTTGGTCTGGGACTCAAACTGTGGTTGACTATGTAGGAGTTTAACGCCTAAACCACTATCCCAGCTGCCGGCTCCTTGTGATTTCTTTTTCTTTTTCTTTTTCTTTTTTTTTTTTTTGAGAGGTTTTTGCTATAGAGCATGTGTGCTTGCCTGAAAGACAGAGAGACAAAAAACGAGAAAGGACCCCACAGGGGGGATGGCCACACCTCAATACCTTCTTCTCCATTCTCCTCTCAGGATCTTGGGCACACACACACATGTGCCCTGCGTGAATTTAAGCCACTGGGTCTGGGACTCAAACTATGGTCGACTACATGGGAGACTAGCGACATAGCCATTACACCAACTGCTGGTCCCATTGATTTATTTCTTAAAAAATATGTAACGTAGTCATAGATGCTCTCTAATCCTTCCTAAAGATCATTTTAACACAGTTATGATAAGCAGGGATTTAATCTTACAAGAAAATACTATCATGGAGAAACCTAAATGGTTGTAGTTGGTAGGTGGAGACAGGAGAGGAAAAGATATTTTCTGATTCATAAAAGCATTTTTTTAAAACTCCTGTTTATAGAATTTTCCGATGCTAATGCCAAGTTTTACTGTCGTCTATACTATGCGGGAGAGTTTCATAAGATGCGTGAAGTGATTCTGGGCAGCAGCGAGGAAGATTTCATCCGTTCCCTGTCCCACTCCTCACCCTGGCAGGCCCGAGGAGGCAAATCAGGAGCTGCCTTCTATGCAACGGAAGGTAAGTCTTCGTAATCATTTCCCTCTTCTCTCCCCTCAGGTCATTTGTACATCACTTGAACCGAGATACTGAGTTGTCGGGAAAGTCATGACGCATTTTTATGTAGAAAAACACATCATAATTTTCTGACAACCTAATAATGTGGTATGGTCTGTTGGCAAACAAAGCTTTCTGTTTTTCTTTTTATGCTCGAGGGGGTAAAATAAAATACTTAATATGAGAATGTACACATATGTGTTCGTAATGAGATTCAGTCATTGATCAGGTTCTTATTAAACTCTCTAGTCCTGAGTTCTCCAGATCTAAATAAATGACAAAACTCAACAGATTAGGTCAGGTGAGAGAAAAATAAAAAGAGAGATGTTTTACCTGAAAATAGTAGTTCCAAGTTCTTAACCTAAAGGTTCACTAAGTATTGTGACCATTAGTACTGCATATTTCATTCTATAGATCCACTGAAAGTGAAGTTATTTGAAAAAATGTAGCAGGCAGGTTGTTGCTTGATAAGAACTTTCATAGCTGTGACTTACGGGATTATTAACAAAGGAGCTTATAAAATTTTATTTAGTAGTTATAAAAAGTAGAGCATTTAGCAATGAATTTAGGTGTGGTCTACCAGAGGATTCTTGATTATATGTATTTTTATGATTGATCCTTCCCAGTCCTAATTACTTGAGAATTGTGTTCTGATCAAAATTTTCACTGTGACATCAGAAAATAATCATCTTTTTTTAAAGTTTTTTCTTTAGATTTTTGCAGTAGGGCCTATGTACTCACCAGAAAGAGAGAGAGATGTGAATGAGAAATCACCCCCCTGGGGAGGATGGCCATGCTGCAGTCTCTTCTCTTCCATCCATTACTTGGGATTTGGGGTATACATGTACACATGCCTGGCATGATTTTTAAGCCACTGGGTCGGGGACTGGAACCACGGAGTTGGCATGTGGGATCTAGTGCCTTAATTACTACACCACCTGCTGGCCCAGAAAATATCTTTTAAACATATAAAATAAGCAAATCATTTGAGATCTTTGAAATGGTTTATTATAGATTATAGTATATATCGTGATTGAATGAACACATGAAATTTCTGCCTTTTAGATGATAGATTCATTTTGAAGCAAATGCCTCGTCTAGAAGTCCAGTCTTTCCTTGACTTTGCACCACACTACTTCAATTATATTACAAATGCTGTTCAACAAAAGGTAGGAATCCCAAAAATTGATCTGCAGTCAGAGTTTATTAGGCTTTTTCCTGAGAGTCAGTCCTATTGGCAGTTTTTCCTTTAGTAAGATATGAGTAGGACTGAGTAGATTTCTGTTATGCTATTGAAGTGTAGAAGAATGCAGATTTCAAACTATATTTTTTCTGCCTTTGCCAGTGATGAACTAAGTGTCCTTTTTTTTTTTTTTTTTGGAGAGGTTTTTGCTATAGGGCATGTGCACTTGCCAGAGAGACAGAGAAGGAGAAAGCGAGAAATCCCCCCCCCAGGGGAGATGGCCACGCCACAATCCCTTCTCCCCCATTCTCCTCTCGGGATCTTGGGCACACTCACACATGCGCCTAGAGTGAGTTTAAGCCACCAGGCTCAGGACTCGAACCGGAGTCAGCTACATGGGAGTTCAGTGACATAGCCATTACGCTAACTGCTGGTCCCACGAACTAAGTGTTCTTGAGTAAGTTGCTTTTAATTAGTATTTATATATATATTGAGTTGTCTGAAAAGTCATGGCGTATTTTTCTGTTTTTCTATGCATTTGTGTCATGACTTTTCTATGACCCAACATACACACACATACATTCATATATATACACACATAGAGCTTGAGATTGAGAGAAGTCTATTTAAAACATTTGGACTGGATAGAATTAGCTGCAGTTAGTAACTTGCAATTTTGCTGAGACAGAAACTTGAAACATGTTGAGAGATGAGCGGGTGCCTCACTTAGCTAGAAAGAGGAAGCCAGTGGCCCAGGTTTGATCACTTGCCAGTGAGCAATGACAGCCTCCTCTTACCAATAAGATTAGGAAGATGTTACATAGACTTTTTTTTCATTATAGTTTACTGTTTAGGAAAGTCATATGTCATTAAAAAAAGTCCTTGAATTTGAGCTCCTATGAAGGATTATTCCTTAGGAGAATGTTAAGAGTCTAATATATTTATTGGCACTTCTGAGATTGAGGGGTTTGTTTCTTTGAAGGCCTTCTGACTGGCCATATCACAGGAAAATCATGTTTGGAAAATACATGGGTAATGCAGATATTAATATTAAATTACAAAGTTTACTTTGATCTTTTCTTTATTAGAGGCCCACTGCATTGGCCAAAATTCTTGGAGTTTACAGAATTGGTTATAAGAACTCTCAGAACAACACTGAGAAGAAGTTAGATCTCCTTGTCATGGAAAATCTTTTCTATGGGAGAAAGATGGCACAGGTAAAGATATTGGACTGTGAAGCATAATCTTGGAACCATTTGTATTTTCAGTTCTTCAATATGACATATTGGAGAGTAATGTTTTATAGTAAATATTTAAGTAGTTACTAGGTCATATTTAACTTTTGACTTGCTGAGCCTTAGAGAAGAGACTAAAGAGGAATTACTACTGTAGACTGGTACTAAAATTTAACATACCCTGTATTCCATAATTACAGAATTGGTCAAATATGAATGTAGATATACTTCTGCCATCTTGGTTTTAAATAAAAAGAACTGAGGCCAGAGGAATTAACTACTTTGTTAAAGTCAACTCAATTTCTAGAACTCAAGCTGGTCTGGATTCTAGAACAGTGCTGTTCAAAGCACTGGTCCTTGAACTTTTTTCAAACTGTGATGAGATAAGGAGCTTGTGCTAGAGTGTAATTGTGCACTGCTTTCTTCATAGAGAATGTCTTGCTATGAGAAAAATGGCAGCTGACATAAACAGTGTGCTTAGTGATGTCATTGATGCACATTCTGGCATTAGCTCATTCATGTCCTTACGGTTTAGGAACAACCGACCAGAACTAGTGTGAGGAAATACACTCCAGGTTATTCTGGTTCTGTTACTCAAGTTCCCTGACCTTTGCGTGCATTGCTTTTCCTAACACCCAAGTATTTCTAGAATTATGCTGTTGCTTTTAAGTTGCCACTAGTAATTATACAAAATTTTGATATCTAAACTTTAGGTTTCCTAAAGCTATTTGCATTTGTTTTTTCACACTGCGTCACAACCAGTGATATATTTTTGGAGTTATTTGTGTGTGTGTGTGTGTGTGTGTGTGTGTTTAAGGTTTTTGCCATAAGGTGTGTGTGTTCATGGTGGCTGGGAGAGACAGCAAAAGGGAAAGTGAGAAATCATCGCCCCCCCCACCACCACCACCACCCAGGAGGATGGCCATGCTGCAACCCCTTCTCCTCTCTTCTCCTCCTGGGATTGTGGCATGGACACACACATACCCACTGTGATTTTCAAGCTGCCAGGTCCAGGACTTGAACTGCAGTTGGCCTTGTGTGAATCCAGCACCTTAACCAGTATGATGCCACCTGTTGGCCTCTTATTAGTGTATCTTTTTTTTTTTTTAATCTCTCATTTGGTTTTTAATTATATGCTGATGGTATATCTCCTCTACTTTAATCCTTCTAATAAATTGGCAAAAGCACCATTACCAGTCACACATATACAGTAGTTCTTTGGTTTCTATGTGGTTTTGAACAATTGTCTAACAACCCTGAAATATAACTTAGTCTCACTTTAGATAATAGAATTCAAAGGTAAAATTTAACTTGCTACTAAATCTTGTCATACTGACTTTCAAAAGCTCTGACATTACAGATCATTTATAAAGTATGTAAGATGTTACCTATTCTTTATTTGATAGTATACACAAACCACACTAAAATGTCTTTCAATAAGTAAAACGTAGTGTTTTAGATACAGAGAATTCTAATTAGATTGGCATAGTTATTTCCAAATACATAAAGTAGACATCACTACCTTATCTTCAGCCCTTGCCTTTCACGAGTTAATGAACACAAATGAAAACTTAGATGAGTCTGCTTGGTTTTGAGAAGTGAAGGGGTTTATCCAGCATTTATATATCTATATAACTAGTTACATCTAAGCATAAATTTAAAAAATATGCAGTAGCTTTTGAGATGGCATTCACCATCTTTGTAGAAAGACAAGCTTCACTAATGAATTACCAATTATATCTTTAGAAAGGGCAAATAGTGCTAGTACTTACTGAACTAAAATTACTATCAAAATTTTTTTTTTTTTTTTGGAGAGGTTTTTGCTATAGGGCGCGTGTGCTCGCCAGACAGACAGAGAGAGACATAGAGACAGAAAGCGAGAAATCACCCCCCAGGGGGGATGGTCACGCTGCAATTCCTTCTCCATTCTCCTCTCGGGATCTTGGGCACGCATGCACACGCGCCCGGCGTGAGATTTAAGCCACCGGGTCCGAGATGCGAACCGCGGTCGACTACGTGGGAGTCCAGCGACATAGCCATTACGCTAACTGCTGGTTCCCTAGAAAAACAATAAATCATGACTGTCTGTCAAAAATATTGTCAGCCACCCATGATCAGGTGTAGGAGATCAATTAAAACATGGTGCACGTAAAAAAGGTGAGACATTTCTGTTTTCTCATAAATAAGGCAGTGACCAACCTATTACTCAGTAGTAGCTTTTTAAAGATAAGCTATCAGCTGTGCTCTTCCTAACTTCTTTTTAATGCCAGCGAAGGTCATTTTTATTCCAGGGATGTATTTTTTTGGGATTCTCCAAATCCTCCACCAGCGAATCCTCTCCCCAGGTGATGCCTTTGTTCTTGTTGGCATCTGTGTAAGAGAATCCGGGCCTGACCTGTCTCTGCCCAAACAGACCGTGGAGATTTGGCCCAGTCTTGTGCTTGCCTCCCTTTTCCATGGTGTGGCACTGGGCACACTTCTGGACAGAAATCTTCTTGTATTTCTCATTATCACCTATTTTTAATTCTCTTTTTTGTCACTTGGGATACTAAGGTTCCCTCAGAAGCAGGATGACCTTCTCTCTCTGTTCATATGTCTTTAAGTTGATTAAATTGGTCGGCTTACTTCTGAAATGTTTCAGTAATTGAGTACCTAGATATTAATTCCATGTTACAGTTATGTCATGTGTATTTTATGTATTATATAATTTTATCACAAAATAAAAACTATGGTTAAATTTTAAAATTAAATTTAAAAGTGTATGTAATGATAGTGGCTACAAGGAGTCTTTCTGCTTCTCTTATGTTAGTTAACCGTTTGTGGCAATTCTAACTTAAATAACAAAGAATTTTTTTTCTGCTAGGTTTTTGATTTGAAGGGTTCACTTAGGAATCGAAATGTAAAAACTGACACTGGGAAAGAGAGTTGTGATGTGGTCCTGTTGGATGAAAATCTCTTAAAGATGGTTCGAGACAACCCTCTATATATTCGTTCTCATTCCAAAGCTGTGCTGAGAACCTCAATCCATAGCGATTCCCATTTCCTGTCTAGCCACCTAATAATAGATTATTCTTTGCTGGTCGGACGAGATGATACTAGCAATGAGCTAGTAGTTGGAATTATAGGTAAGTCAACAAGTGTATCCTACTTAGAGTTTATGAATGATGCTCCAGTATGATTTTAAAGATTCTTTTAAACTTGTTTTAGTAATAGCTTATTGAATATTTTCACAAACTTCCATTTGAAATGTTAAGAATAATAGTTTTTAATTATACTCCTTATTATTTCCTCTTTTCCATTTTCATTATCTTTGCCAAAAATATCTGCATTTAAAAAATCACTTATAAATGAGACCCTGTGTGAGTGTTGTGAGGATTAAATGTCTTAATATGGGGAAAGTCCTAAGAAGAGCATCTGGCTACAGTAGCATATTGGTAGCCCAGAACTCTGTGATTGTGGAAACCACCTGAAAGATTGGGGTTTGGTATCTGGTTCGACCTTTACGTGCAAGCGTGTGCCCATAAGTGCCCATGGCTGACTGGCTGGAAAACACTGTGGAGAGACTGTGGCATGAGACCTTTTAGCGGTGCTTGTCTCTCAGGAACAAAAGAAAAAAAAATTTTTATTTTTTGAGAGAGATTTTTTTGCTATAGGGCACGTGTGCTTGACAGGGAGACAGAGAGAGAGACAGAAAACAAGAAAACACCCCCTAGGGGAATGGCCACACTCCAATCCCTTCTCCTCTATTCTCCTCTTGGGATTTTGGGCACACACGCACACATGCCTGGCATGAGTTTTAAGCCACTAGTTCTGGGACTTGAACTACAGTTGACTACGTATGAGTCCAGTGATGTAACCATTATGCCATCTGCTGGTCCCTAAAGAAAGAACTTTTTGAAAAGAACAATACCACCTGGCATATTGTCAGCACTCAATGAAAGTTAACTTGTAGAAGCAATAATAATAGCCATTACTACTGTCATTTGATTATATTTATTAACTGTACTGCTAATTTTGTCCACCTCCTTTTACCCCCAGATTATATTCGAACATTTACATGGGACAAAAAGCTTGAGATGGTTGTGAAGTCAACAGGGATTTTAGGAGGACAAGGTCAGCTGACTTTTCATTTTGTTTACTCTTTAAACTATTCTCATATATTTCTAATTAGTTAAAATTTAAAAAGAGATATTGATTTTCTTCATTCTAAAAAAGAAATGGTTATCTCTGATTCAGCATCAATTCCAAATGACCAAATAATAAGGGGAATCATGTAGATGTGGAAACAATGGGCTTAAATTTGTGTTAGAATGTCAGAGTTTTTCAAATAAAAAGTTAAAGCCAGAGGTTCTGAATAAGATTTTTTTTTTTTTTGAGAGATTTTTGCTATAGAGATTTTGTGCTTGCTGGTGAGACAGAAAGACAGAAAGAGAGAAATCACCCCCTGGGGAAATGACCACGCCACAGTTCCTTCTCCTTTATTCTCTTCTCGGGATTTTAGGCACGTATGCACATATACCCAGCGTGAGTTTTAAGCTGCTGGGTCCAGGACTTGAACCATAGTTGACTATGTGAGAGTCCAGCGATGTAACCACTATGCCATCTGCTGGTCCCCAAAAGGTTGTTTTTAGTTAATATTTGATACCTTGTAAGTTCTCTGAGTTCTGCTAACCTGGTTTGTGCTTTTAGACATCTCTTTTCTCTGGGTGAGAGCTAGTCTTTTAGAAACTTCTTGCAGGAGGGAGAAGTGACAAGTGGCAGAGAAGATGACTCTGCTTCCTCACTTACGCTGTGCTGGCGTATGTGTCTTTATGGCAGTTTAAATGAAAGAACATGGTTGAAGTCAGTAGCCCAATCAATTGTGTAACTTTTTTTTTCTCTTATCCTTTCATAACTTTAGGTAAAATGCCAACTGTGGTCTCTCCAGAGCTATACAGGACTAGGTTTTGTGAGGCCATGGATAAGTATTTCCTGATGGTACCAGACCACTGGACAGGTTTGGGACTCAATTGCTGAAATCAAGCATTTATTTTGAAATCGACTTCAGTGAAGGAAAGGGAGCAGAAACAAAGGACCAAAAATAAGCTACATGTCTTATTTCTTCATCACGTTCACCACTGTATAGGCCTTTTAGTTCTGCAGGTCTTTGGACCGTCCATAACTAAAGGTTAAAAGCTCCATGGATTTACACCTTGGTTTTTGATACCTGTGGATTAGCTATCTGCAGGTTGAGAAGTTCCATGAAAATTTTTGCACTTAAGCTAATACACAGACACATGTCAGAGGGCTAAGAATGGAGATTAGTAGGCAGGGTGGAAGATAGGTTGCCATATTTGCTCACTTCATTGTTTTAGGAAGAAAGCATCTTGGATTATGACTACCCTGGCATCTCATTTGACACGGCCTAAGAAAGCCTTTGTAGAGCTGCTAAATTTATTTTGTGTTTCTTATGTAATAATTTAATGTTTACTGTTATCAGAGTTTCTGGACTTTTAGAAAATTCTGATTTATTCCACTAAAGGCCAGTTAAACAGGTTGGCGTTTACTATTATTGACGGATTTGGCTTTAACCGGGAATCATGTTGTTCATCTTCCCATCTTGCCTTGTTTTTGAGTATGTTTGATGTTTTTAAAATTTTATCTTCTCTATGGTTGACAAGAGGTTACAGTCATTAACTTTAAGTTTTTTGTAGAACTACTTTTTAAGCTTATTTAAAACATTTGTGTAATGTGCTAGATTGTACTTTTCTGTATATGCTCACGTTCTAGTTTTTCCTTTCATTTTCAGGGAACTATAGTAATCAGTAGTAAATTACTCTGCAATCACTAAATCCCTAAAGGAAGAACTATAAATAAAGGATTTTTTCCCCTAATATAAGAGATAAAAGAGATTCAATCCAAAAAACTATGTGAGAAGGGAGCACCTATGTTTTTTTTTTTTTATAAAGGTAAATTGTCTTTTTTGAAGTAACCAACAATTTAAGTTGCATCTATAAAATGAAAAGTTTCCAGTGTGGGTATGCCCATTTTCTAACTTTTATACACTGGCCAGTTCTAACTACTGAGAAATATTAAAAAAATATATTTTTATTAAGAAACATCTTGTTTTACAGTCAGTGTTTTTGTTTGTTTTAAAAAATAATCAGAAGTACTAAACTGTTTTTGAGGAAATAATGTAATTCCAGTGTCGTTCCTCTTGACTTCTTTCTATAATAAAGATAACTCGGGAATGTATAAAGTATTACAGATTCCACTGTTTTCAGGCTTCTATAATAGTGCATTAATTTTCACATAATAAGAGTAAGAAATTTGAATATCTTCTGTTATACAGAGTATATATAATAAGTACATGAAATAAGAACATTTGCTTTAGAGAATGAAGACAGTAGTTTGGTTTGGTGCTTATTAAAACATGGTTTGTTTTGAATTGGAAGCAAGTTGACCAAGGAGTTATGACTAACTGATGATAAACCGAACTCGCACCCCCCCTTTTAAATATGTGAATGTGCCTTTTGAAGATACACAAAGCACTGAGATTTCAGTTTTGATATCAAAGTCTGTAAAGGATTTGTCCAGAGGTGAAAGGTAGTAGGACATTATTCATTTATTTTTCCAAGAACAACAAGTTTTATGTCTGATTTTAAGTGCCAACATGCTTTCGTCTCTTGTGTGTGTTTCTTGTCTGTGTTTGTATCCCCGTTCATGAACACTTGAATAACAAGGTATCTCCCCCAAGCTGAAATCCATTATTTCTTCGTTTTTAGTTTCCATACCATGCACATAGCTGGAATGCCCCTCGTGAGTAGCTCCTGACAATTACGTCATGTTGGTTTTGTCTTCCTTGCCCATCACTCAAAATTCTTAACCTTTAAAGTACTGTTGCCTCATAGGCAATTTTGTGGTTAAAAAAAAAATTCTAATATAATATACTCTTGAAGCAATAGTTGCTGCTTTTCAAGGGTGATCTGTCCTTTTAAAACTAGTGTCTGGGCTGTTAATTAATGAAAGGGGAATATAAAATCGAACTGTTTGTTTTGAGTGTGAAAATTGTAAGCCTGGCCTGTTGCTGCTTATAGTGACGCCACTATGGTGTGTATATTCAGTGTTCCAAATAATGTTCCAGAGCTTATTTATAAATGTGATGCTTTTTGATGTTCTCAAAACTTACTTAAAAAATAGGAAGAATTTACCTTTTTCTTTCCCTAGCCTAAAAAAAAATGAGAGGAAGAAGCTGTTGTAAGCCCTTTTATAGCCTATTGAATACTTTAAATTTATAGATATTAAACTTTTCCTATAAAATGTCTTACAGTTTTTTTCCTTGATTCAGCTGTGAGTCGTTTTCTAGGTTTGACTTTTATTGGGTGTTGTAAATAGTAGGGTCATATTGACATCAGCTTTTATGATGGCTTTGTGGCCATCCGCTTCTTGGCGTTTTTACCTATTAGTAGTAGGCTTGTGTAAAACTGCCAAGGATTTAAAATCTACCTGTAGGAAGTTTGCTTAGCTCAAAGAGTAAAAACTTTTGTGAATGAGCCCGATGGTGAAACAGATCAGGCCATTCTTTATCCCTCAAGTGTTAACATAATGACTTATGCAGTATTCAAACCATCTAGTGCAATGCCTTTTTTTGTTTGTTTTTGTAACACGGGTGTAATGTATTATAGAAAAAGTGAAAATTACAATTATGAGCAGTTTTATTAATACTGTGTCAGTTTTGTAAAAAAAAATGTATATTACATCTGAACAAGTTGACTTTTAAACTAAAGAAATGACATTGTAAATCATAATTGCCTCTTTTAATTTAATATGGAAAATTCAATTAACAATATTGGAAGTACTTAATGTATTATATTGTATATATTTCTCTACTTTGGTTCCAGCTATTTTATATGATTGACATGTTATTTAAAAAATAACTGCTTTGATCTTTTGAAGACTTGTAAATAAAGACTTACAATAAACTGAGAATCTGTTTATTCTACTTAATTTGAATCGGCTTAAGGAAATTAACAGCAAGAAAAGATGTAGTTTGGTGTAGGCCTGGTCGCTGATATGGCAGTGTTGCCTTGTCTTCACTATGTTTATTCTCTTCTCCTTTTTTCAGGTAGAAAATTTAAGTTTTTTAAAAACTTAAATCTGGGGTGCTGGGAGGTGGAGTGGTGGTTGAGGTGCTAGACTCCCATATGGCCGACTGTGGTTTGAGTCCTGGACCTGGTGGCCTGCCTTCTCACTTTCCCTTTCTCTCTCTGATCAAATTAAAAAATAAAAACAACAACCAATAAAATAAAATAAGATAAATAAATCTTTAAACAAAACTAAAGTCTGGGGCCAGCAGATAGTGTGGTGATTGAAGCGCTGGATTCCCACATGCCTGACTGCCTTTTGAGTCCTAGACCTGACGACTTGCTTTCTCATTTTCCCTTCTTCTTCCTCTGGTCAAATTAAAAAAGAATAATAACAAATACAATTAAATAAATAATTTTTACAAACCCCTTAAATCCGCAGTTCATTTTAGCTAATAACAGACAAGACAATATTGCCCCTCGCCTATTCTTCTGTGCTGATAGGGTGTTCAGAGAAGTTCAGCCTTTTCTGTGTGGAATTGGCTGAATTTATTGGCAGGCAGGGCTCTCTCAACTGTAAGTTTATCCTGTGCACTTAGCGGCAGGTCTTCTTATGCTGCCTGAAGTCAGGCTTCTTTTTTTTTTTTTTTTGCCTTGTCCATTTTTCTTATTTTAATTTTTTATATACATTCAGTCGCATTATTTAGCTTACAAAGTGAACATTTCAATATGTGAACATTTCTCCCCAGTCCAGTTGATCAGAATATCTTCCACCAATAACACCACACCTCCCCTTCCTGTGAGTGCTCTGTCTCCCATTATCCCTCCTCCAAATGTCCTTCCTTAGGTCCCTCTTCTCCACAATTGATTGACCTAAGGTTGTACAAACACAAGAGATGGGGGTTAGTGCCAGAAGTGGAGTGTGTGGAGAAGGACCTAAGGAAGGTTTCTTCTTGTAAGTCACAGATGTAGCCGTGAAGCTGTGAGGTCCACCTTCTTTCCACGAAGGGATTCATGGGGCAAAGGTGAGCATGGCTGGATGGAAGGAGTGGTTCCCAGTGTGCACCAGAGCTGGCTGGGATGATGCATGGGTGGGCTGCACAGGGCCGTGGGGAGGTTGCAGACTGGCAAGGGAGGACATCTCTAGCTCCTTGTCTCTCTGCTTTTCTCTTATGGGGGGAAGAAGTAGATGTACAGGGTGGAGGCACAGTGAGCCCTCCAGTCCCCATTCACCCAGAAGTCTCTTGTGTTGGAAATTAATGATCAGATTCCTAGAATAATGTTTAAGAAAATTTTTTTAAAATAATTTTTAAAAGTATATCTGTATGGTAGCACATAACAGAATTTCCTTCCTTTTTAAGGCTGAATGATAAGTGTTTGCATGTTTATTATATTTTATTCATTTATCTCTCCATGGGAGTTATGGTTATATGATGGCTGATTTTATGTGTCCACTTGACTTGGCTAAGGAATGCTCAAATTTCTGATAAAACACTTCTGGATGTGTTGGTGAGGATATTTACAGAAGAGATTAGCATTTGAACTGGTGGACTGAATAAAAAAAAAAGACTTCCCACATCAGAAGGTAGGCCAGAATAGAACAAAAAGGCAGAGGAAGGGTGAATTCATTCTCTTGCTCTCACTGGGGCATCCATCTTCTGTCCTTGGTCATGAAAGCTCCTAGTTCTTGTGCCTTTGGAGTCCAGGAGTTAATATAATGACTTTCCTGGTTTGCAGGACTTTGTACTCAGACTGGGGAGTTACATTCTGGTTCTCTCGTTGGGCCCAGACTGAATTGCATCACGTCTTTTCTGGTTCTCCAACTTGCAGATGGCATATTGTGGGAATTTTTATTCTCCATAAGCATGTGAGCCAATTCCCATCATCTCTTATATGTGTTTGTATTCTCTCTCTCTCTCTCTCTCTCTGTGTGTGTATATATATATATATATATACACACACACAAATATAACATACACAAATATAACATCCAGACCTAGCTATCTTAAAATTGAGATGTGTATAGAGCCATGCATTACTTAACAACAGGAAAACATTCTGAGAAGTGTGTGATTTTCTTGTGTGAATATCATAAAGTACATACACAAACCTAGATAGCATAGCCTACCATATACCTAGGTTGTGTGGCAAAGCCTATTGCTCAGCACATGTAAACCTACATGGCATGTCCCTGTACTGAATTCTGTAGGCAGTTGTAACACCATGATACATATATGTGTATATAAACATAAGAGGCACAGGAAAAACGTGATCTGAAAGGTAAGAAATGTTACACCTTTACAGGGCATTTATGAATGGAGCTTGTAGGACTCCTGCAAACTGGGTGATTCAATGGTGGTGAACAAAATGAAAGGCTAGGACACTACACCACTGTAAATTTTTTTAAAAAGAATTATTTACTTAATATTCTTTTTTAAAAAGTTTTATCAGAGATAGAGAGAGAGAAAGTGAGAAAGCAAATTGCCAGGTCTGGACTCAAACCATAGTCAGCCATGTGGAAGTCCAATACCCTAACCACCACACCACCTGCAGACCCCATAACCCTGTAGATTTTATAAACACTACACACATGGGCTATATTAAATTTATTTTAAAAGTCTTCAATAATAAATTAACCTTAGCTCACTGTAACTTTTTACTTCATCAATTTTTCAGGTACTTTATATGAACTAATTCTCCCTTAATAAGACTTAGCTCAAAGCATAAGCACATTGTACAGATGTACAAAGGTATTTCTTGGCCATTTGCGGTACAGTGGTAACCAGTGCTTCATGATGCTGAAGCCACAGGAAAAGGTTCTGGGTTACTGTCCCAAGGCCTCTCTGTACACAGCAGGCATTCTCACATGTGCCCATGCTCCTTGCTGGCTGAGGCTGGGGGTGGGTAGTGGGGGGAAGACCTTGTTGGGGGTGCTCTCCCACCCCCATACAAATAAATAAACTTTTTAAAAAGACACCAAAAAAAAAAAACCCCTAAGATACAAATACACACTTTAGCCTTAGCCAGTACAGAGTTAGGATTGTCAGTGCTGACTCTCACCTCCACATTCGGACTCACTTGAAGGACCTTGATGAGCAAAACAACATGGGATTAAATCAAGCATTAGAGAAAATGTGCAGTCAAGAGATAGGGTAAACAAGGCTGCTGTGGTATAATGAATGCTGTTTTACAGTCAAGTTTCTTATGTAGGAGGAGTACTCTAATGATAAACGTTTAGCATAGTAAATGTGCAACCAGTAACATGGTTGTTTATTGTCAAATTCTATGTACTATACAGAATCATACGTGCTACACTTTTTTTTTTTTGCTATAGGGTATGTACACTCACCAGAGGGAGACAGAGACACAGGGAGAGGAAAAAATGAGAAAGCAACCCCCCCATGGGAATGGCCATGTTGCAATCCCTTCTCCATTCTCAGGATTTTGGGCATACACACACATGCACCTGGTGTGTTTCTCAAGCTGTCAAGTCTGGGACTCAAACCACAGAGTCAGCCATATGGCATTCAGCTGGCCCTGTGTTGTATTTATAAGACTAGCAGCACAGTTAGTTTGTCTGCACCAGCATCACTACAGATTCATGAATATTGTCACTAGGCAATTCATGATAATCTTATAGGACCACCATTGTATATATATATATATATGAACATGGGTGACCAAATACCTCTTCAAGACTCTGCTTTTAATTCATTTGGATAAAGGTAAATGGGATTACTGAGTCATATGATAGTTTTACAGTCTCTAGTATCCACAATCATCCTCTCTACAATTACATCTCCAGATCTTTCAACTTCTACCATAATGTGTAGACACTCAGGAAAAATTAAGTGAGGGATATTCAATGTGAATCTTTAATAGTTTGGTTTACTTTGCCTAACATTAAGTCTTCTATATTCATCCATTCTGAGTAAAAAATAGGATCTCATTGTTTCTTATAGCTTTGTAATATTCTATAGTACCCATGTGCCACAGTTTTTCAATCCATTCATCAGTTTTTGGACACTTTGGTTGGTCCCATGTTTTAACAATAGTGAATAATGTTGAAATAAACATGGATGTGCAAGTGTCTTTCTGATAGAGTGTTTTCCTATCCTTTGGGCAAGTACCACGGAGTGGGATTACTGGGTCCTATGGAAGTTCTGTTTGTAGATTTTTGAGAAAACTCCATATTGTTTTCAACAGAGGTTGAACTAATTTACATTCCCACCAACAGCGTAAGATGGTTCCCTTTCACCAAAGTCTACCAAAAATTGTTGTTCTTTTTTTTTATTTATTTGTTTTTTAATCTTAGCCACTCTAACTGGGGTTTAATGGTATCTCTTTGTGGTTTTAATTTGCATTTCCTTTATGATGAGAGACTTTGAACATTTTTTTCATATGCCTTTTGCTCATTCATAAGTCTTCCTTGGAGAGTTTTCTATTCAATTCATGTGCCCATTTTTAATCTGATTATTCATTAAAATATATTACAAAGTAGTAGCAAACAAAACAGCATGGTACTGACACAAGAATAGACACATAGATCAATGGAGCAGAATGGAGAATCTAGAAACAACTCCCAAATCATGCAGCCAATTGATCTTTGACAAACGGTACAAGACAATTCAGTGGAGAAAAGAGTCTTTTCAGCAAATAGTGCTGGAAGAACTGAATATCCACCTTTAGTAAAATGAAACTAGACCCTGACCTCTCATCATTAATGAGAGTCAATCAAAATGGATTAAAGATTTAAATATAAAGTCTTAAATTATAAAATTATTGTACTACTAGAAAACAGGGAAAGAATTTAAAGACATTGGAATAGGCAAAGATTTATTAAATAAGACCCTAAAACACAGGCAATAGTCCCAAAATTGATAATTGGGATATTAAGCTAAA